CCCCCCCCGGTACACCATCCAGCTCCGAGCAAAACTGAACGCATAGTGCTGGATTTTCGTGGTCCAGTCGTATTCGAGCCATCCTCGAACTGTGAAAATGATTATTTGGAAATTCGTGATGGTCAGTACGGATTTTCCCCGTTAGTCGGCCGATTCTGTACGGACAGCTGGCAACTTCGACCTGTCGTATCCACCGGCCCGTGGCTTTGGTTGCGGCTGCAAACGGACTACACGATTGAGAAGTCCGGTTTTCAAGCGGTCTACTACTTTGAACCGAACAGACCGAAACGTGAGTTTTCTGGTTCGAGTTGGGTGGCCTTGACCAAAAACGCCAAACCCCCGTTCGTAGCCGTAGTCATCGAAGTACTTGCGNGTACTTGCGGATTACAGATCAACCAATCGCCCTTTTCGTTCTTTGAGTCACACGGCTTCTGTATAGTTGTTGACTGGTCGACACCTTTGATATATAGCCCGACTCCATTTCGCCTGTTCGCCGAGCTTGGAAATTTGTTTGCAAACGTTTCATCACCAGCCGAGGTGACATCATCAGTGCTTGTGAAGTGACAGTGTTCTGCTTGTACCCGTTCGTTTATGTGTTCTTCTCCACCGACTATTTTCATCCCCTATTCTCACTCGGTTCGACTCAGTTCACTGTTAAACTGGTGCGCGGGGATGGGAGGTGTTTGTCCTTTCGTCCAGATTGCGGTTTCGTTCCGTTCTCAGGTTACGGCGTGACCGTTTTTGTTGCATCATTTTACCTTGAGTTGCATCGGCGTATGCACATGATCCAGTTCGATGTGCCTGTTTATGCAGAACGGAAGGAAATCGCAACCAGGATGAAAGGACAAACACCTCCCACCCCCGCGCACCAGTTTAACGGTGAATCGAGTCGAACAGGATGAGAACAACGGACAAAAATAGTCGGTGGAGTAGAGCATATATATAAAGGAATGGATAAAAACAGAACAGTGCCACAACACAAGCACTGATGATGTCACCTCGACTGCAAACAAATTGCCAAGCTCGGCGAACAGACGAAAGGGAATTCAGTTTAGCCGAGCTACCAGAACCGATTTTCCGTAATTTGTCAACATGGCCCGATGTCCATAAACTGGAATGCCTGGGGGCTTGACTGGCGTCATCTCGGAGTGCCGAATTACCACAGCAGCACACTTGGTTAGATAGCAATTTCAGTTTCAGTTTTTACATCCATCGGCCATGCACCATTATGCGGCTGTCACTAGGCCTAATGAAGACTAGAATGTTGAGAGGAGAGTCAAACAGATAGTAACTAACTCATATATGTTGCGAGGTGTAGTATTCTGAACAGGAATCGAAATGGAATAGCGTGGACTCGAACTCAGACTGAAAAACCACTGAATAGCGCAAAGTCAGGCAGAACCAAAACGATCTGTGGATACAGTTAGTTCTATTCAGAAAATCATGGAAATATATATCACAAGCAACAAACAATCATTGGTCGATTCTTGAATGTCCAATCGACAACGATATGGTTTATTTGTTTGCCTTCTTGCATTCAGCCAATCCGGATGGTGCCAATTGAGACCACAGGATTGGTCGGTTACTCCGTTTCTTGATTGGTTACCTGGAAGCTGTACCGCGGTGCTCGCGTACTCATTAAACGATCACGACACAAGGATAATAAATAGATGCACAAGCTCCAGTGTTTACGGCTCTTGGTCAGATTACTCAGTTTCTAAACGCCGGTTACGAATGTCTCGTGGTCTCGATCCAGGGAGCCGAAGACAATCTATATTCCGGAGTCTTCTGATTAGAGTTTGCATACCCGCAGGTCAAGTCTTACGTGGCCCGCTGTTGACTTTTCTTTACCCACTACGTGAATCAGTAAACATCTCGCGCCTTGGCAACCTATTTGATTACATGTCTAACACATGCTCCAACCAAAGTAGTCTATTAAGGTAAACCATTTGCTCCAGTGCGTGACCATGATCATCTAAAACTCTTCGCCCAATCTCAGCATTACTTGTCCTGCTTCACCATAGCTAATGGTGTTCCAAAACCGACAGTCTATCCTTATCCCGTTCCGATCCTTCACAGACAGTCGAGTATCACCATAGCTCCAGAGCTGTCTCAATTTGCCAGGGTTAGATCTAGTCCCCAACTGAACACACAGATCATTACATTACCGCGTCCGAATCTCTGCCTTTTGTGATGGCAATGGTAGGACTGGAAACAATTCATTTATTTCTATCGATGTAACATGCATTAGATCTGTCCGTTACCGAGCAAATGTCGACAATTAAACAGATTCAGTTCTGCTAATTTCAGTCACCATAACCAATAGCTTTCCACTTCCTTGTGTTTGTTCAACTTTGTCTTTCGTTTGGGCGTTTCTTGACCAATAAAGTATTAGTAAAACTTACCCTTAAGACCCCGTGTTTATAACGCTCAGACATATCACTCACAGTCACTAACCATTGATTAGTTTATTCACAATGACCTCCAACTAGGAAATCCATCACAACCCGCATAACTGAGATCCTCACTCAGGTGTTTTCATGCAAGGTCACTGTTTTCGTTAAACTACTAGCTGTATTGATGAAGATCAGAGACTGATGAAATCTTTCCGGCATTATGGGCAACATGTCAGCACAGTCTGCGCAATTTCAGCCCCGATGTAAGTGCTCTGTCGTGATCATCCAACCTGGGCACTGCTTGTCCAGGTATACAACATGCATTTGAGTGAGAGATGGATAGCTGTTGCGAGATGGTGTCCAGCCACTAAGCAGAACAGTTAGAGCTCCAACGAGAACCTGACCGCAAAGCAGTCGGTAAGGTGAAATCGAGGCTCATTTACTTGGATCGACTACTACTCTACCACTTTACCAACTGAGATGCCAACTCAAGTCGAACCCCCAGCTTGGAGGACCAAGAGACTTTGGTGGTGTCAACTGTTTCTGTTCTGTTGTTAGTATTCAAGTACCCATCGAAGCTGCTATATGCATATCGACACTTGATATCTATAGCTACCCAGGTAGTAAATATCTCCGATCCTCTCCACTGCGTGACCATGGCGATTGGGTTCGGTCCGAATCCCGTGGCCGAACCGAATACTTTAACAGAGAAAAATATATACCGAGAACAATTACACTAACTCTCAAGCTACCCAGGAAATCTTGCGACTTTTAGAAATCTTCGCTCAGCAGCACAATATTACGTATCTTCCATCAGACTAGTTAATTCACCGCTCTTGTTAGCACTTCAAAATCACTTTACTCGCACGAGGATAGACTCATTTCCAAATTAATATCTATTAAATGTTGAAAAGCAAAAGGAACAGATAGATAGCAACCCTGACGATCATCACTTGCCGTGGCGAAATCGGGTGAGAAAGAGTTGCAACCCCGGAATGCAGTTTTGGCAATTTGTATACAGTAAATGTGAAAAGAAAAGAATTCTCCGGTAGCACCTGTAATCACAAACCACGCCAGAGTATAGTGGTGCCAACCGAGTCTGTCAAAGAGTGACAATAGAACCGACAAAGTCTCAGTCATATCCAGAGCTAGCTTAAAACTCATATCTACCGTGTTTGCGTGCTGCAAGACACTTGATGGCGTAATGAGGTAACATTTGATCCCCATCGGTGATAGGGGTAAATGCTTCCCGCCTCCTCCTGGCTCTCGAATCACGTGATGCGAATCCAGTTAAAGGGTATGGAAAAGGCAGTAGTCAGTTTGATTTAATTCTGCCTTTTCGCGAGCAAAATCAGCGGTAATAACCTAACGCACTTTTAAGAATTTTAGGAAAGTTCTGGGACTTAACAATGATATGCTGCAATCATAAGAAATTCACAATAAGAACCTTCGGTTAACTAAAGCTTGAGGCGGACGGTTTGTGAACATCTCCCCCCATAATGGGGTCAGTATCTCGTTCATCGGATCA